TGCCTCAATGAGCAAAAGTTGGGAAAACTATTCAGCTTGAAACAGGTAAATGGAAAATATTTATGGCAAAAGACGACAAAAAATACTCACTCAGTTTTCTGGTGTGGACCGGAAGAATAGTTTATCGAGTTTCACTTTTCAATATCAGAATTGACTGACAGTCGGTTAGTTATCAAATGTTATGACAGGCGCACTGAGGCTAATTGATCGTTAATTAATCATAAAATTTACTGATGGCTGCGATGCGATAATTTATGCACTCCGTTGTGGACGGGACTGTTTGCTGTCGATGGAGGATATGCAGGCGCTGTCTCGTTTATATGCAAATGACCCAACAAGTCGGCGGCGACTGATTCGAAAATTCAAAATTCTTGGCGCAACGAGTGCAGCGGGTCCAAAGCCGAAACCGAACCGAACCAGACCCGAAGTCGAACCGCAACGAGTCCTGAAACAGGAACGAGGACATCCATCCACAGCAGTGTGTTACCAACAACAACCCCCTCTTCTTCGTTCTGTGTTGCCATATCGACAGGACTGCGACTGGGAGTGTGACTGGCACTGGGACTGGGACTGGGAGTTGGTCTCGTGTTCGGGCTTCGAACTCGGGGACTCTCGTACTGCGTCTCAGACGGGGTCTCTCGGAGCCAGCCGTTTGCTGCTTGCTGCTTGCCGTTCGGGTCGAAACTGTTTGGACTGTTTTTTCTGACCCACTCTGTTGGGGCCACACTTCCTGCACACACGTTCGAGTTGCAAGCTCCTTCCACTCCTCCCGAATTGGGTGGTAAACACAACATGGATGTGGCTGTGTGACAGCTACGTTTTGGGCACTTTCCTTTCTCGAGTGACGTAACTCTTTGCTCGTCGGCGACACTTGTTGGATTGTTGTTGTTGTGATTGTTGCTGTGCAAGTGCACGAGTACCAGTACCAGTGGTCGTACGATTATCTGTGTAACTTGGTGGAAAGTTCAATCTTTGACAGCAGCTTCTTTACAGTTGACATGATAATGGAACCGGAAACTTCCGGCAAGTTTCTGTCAGACTCTACGGAAAAGTTGCAAAAGTTTTGTGGGGTGGCCTTATTGATTATATGTACATTGATTTCAGCTATAGGGAATGGAATGTAGACGAGAGTTTGTACTTACTTATCTTCAGGTATCTTTGGAGTTCAAAAGGTACTCAGACTTACACACACTTACATTTCAGGCCCTGCTGTATCTCGGATTCCGGGGCTCCCAATATTTCATTTACACGCGCCACTTCCCCCGAAACGTCAAAGACTACCGCAACAATAAAACGTGTAGCAGGAACGTGCAGGACCAACACAACACAACACTACAGCCACCCACCCAGACCTGCCCCTAGCCCATCCCTTTGCTGCAAGTTCGCTTGCAACACGTTCGATGTCGCAGCTACGTCTCAGTGGTAACTTCGCCGGCTGAGAGTATTTTTGGGGGAGACGCTTAGGCGTCCGTCTCCCAGTCGAATGGGTTAGATAACTTTTGCTTTTAATTGGGTCTTGGGGGTGCCGTTAATGCACCTTTCCTAGGGGTCCAGCCTTATCATGGAGCTATCACATGTCCAGAGTTCATGGCGGTCATTAGCTTCGATACTTGAGGGCTTTTAAGGCAGCCGAAAAGGTCAGTTGGTCACATTAGCAACATCATAGCATCAGCATCTCTCCGACAATTCAGAGGTGGATCTCATAAAAGTTTCGATTACAGGTGTGGACCATTTTTTTGTTGCATAAAAGAGGTTTTTATCTCAAACCAGACGTCGGTCAAGCACCTCTCTCTCTCTCAAGAGATGACGGGGGTATTGGGTTACGCAGCTGCCCGCCAGTCAAGTTATTAACCTCAGACTCAGGTCCCAGTTTATTCAAGCTGATCTCAGGCTGAGAACATTTATGGAAAAATGGCATGGCAACAGGGACCCTCATAACTGGGACATCGTCCACAGGAAGCACCTACAATTTGCTAGATGAAATGAAACTGTCAATGCCGTCTCACAGTTGGGAACACCCATATACGAAAGAGACTCCGAAGTCCTTACTGTAACTCAAGATCAAAGGAAGACCATTACACTGATCAATGAACCCAGAGTCCCTGCCCCGATCCCGATCCCGATCCGGATCCCGGATCCAGACATCAACGTCATCTCTGTCTCTTTGCTTCCGATCTGTCTGCACTCGATCGGATGGATCTTCGGGATGTTTTTTTTTTTAGCTTCCTGAAGAATCAATTACACATCCAGTCTCGGAGCAACAGATGTGTTCCCTGGCGAAAGATCACTAACCATCTCAAATAACATTAACCAGACACGACAGACCTTTTTTTTGTTATCTTTCATAAAAAAATGTGCCTCTTCCTTACTGCTGCTGCGTCGTTGCGGAATTTTCTATGCAATAAAAGCTGCAGGACAATAGCAGAGCCATCAACACGGATATCAGATGAAAAACGCCCCTCCCACCCCTAACCTCCTCCCTCAGATAACGAAGAAGAATTGTTTTCACTGCCACAGCAAAAAGTTCCTGTTATTGTTGTTGATGCGACAATAGCAAAATGTATAAAGTCATTTCTATGGAAATCATTAAAAATGCGGGACTTTTCAGTTTTAATAAGAAACTGTTGCCGCACACGGAGAGGGAAAACCCAGCATAATGAAGGAAGTTGTTGCCAATCGAAACAAAAGCAAATCACGGCGGCACCAAAGCCCAAGATTTGTACGGAATTACAAACGATTTGTATGCAGACTGGCTGCGAAGACTTAACACAACAAACAGAGCGGAATAAAATGGGGATTTTCGTATTTGATGGGCATGTAAAGAACCAAATGGTAATTATTCATTGGGATAACGACAACTGAGGTTCTTTCGAGTACAGGGATAATAGGACATTTTTGATTATACATACTTATTCCATTGTAGCCTATAGTCCATTGGGCAAGACCCCTGCGCACTCGCTTTATCGGACTTTATCGGATACTATAGGAAAGATTTTCCAAAGTACAAAGCCCAGTTTCTGCTCATCAAAATCGTTTCCACAGAAAATAAACGAGAGAATATTTCCACTAACCGCCCTAATCGGCTTCCTGGTGCTATGCTGCGACGACTTGGCTAAATAGGCAAATGGTTAACGAACGTCAGAAGCGGGCCGCGCACGCGCTCCTCGCCTCATTTCGCATGCGAGGCGGAGACCCCACGGGAACGTTCGCCGAATTATGTACGATAAAAAGTACGCCGGAACGGGGCGTGCGAACCGACCGGTCTGATGTTGGGCATTATAAATGCGATGGCAGATTGTCCAGATATTGCGGCGATGGGTGCGCACTCAGTGCAGAGACATCGTGAATGGACTGACAATACCGGGATAGATGGTCCAGTGAGAAACAGAGGCACCGTTGCGTTTGTGGTTGCGGCCTACGTGATCGACTGGACATCAGCCATCAGCCGGAAGAGGGAGAGTTGCTTGCCCTACGAGCCCTACGTTCAGGAAGTCGGTTGATCGACGTCGTCGACCGGGTTCAGTGTCCAGTTTTTGTACTTGAAACCCAAATTACGCAGTTCCCGAAATACCAAAAATAAACAGCACATCCCCGAGGCACATCCCCCAAAAGCTCGGTATTTTTGGCCAGAACGTAAAGTACCGCTAGGCGGGCAAGTGCGCAAGTGGGCCGCATTGCCGAAACCCGGTTGTGATGTCACCGGGCACGGTGTTTGCTAAGCGGGTTTTTTTTTGTACCCGAACTTACACTTGAACTCCCCATCGCTGAGAGGCTGATGATGATTAACGCAGCCAGCCCGAACGAATCGGGCTCGGATCAGTTGGAAGTGTTCACATTCACGTCAAAGGGGCTTGCATTGCATAAGAGACCCAGATCGATTGACACGCCCCTTACCCGATTAGTTGCAGTCCTCTGTCTTTGGGCAGGTGTGAATACATAGGTTCATAAAGAATACATTCAACTCAGGGAAACCTTTGGTATATCCATTTGATGTAGTCCAAATTGATGAAAAGATGGCAACAATATCTGTATATATATGTAGCTATCATCGACTTTATACTAATGGCTTATACCGTACAACTACGGCTGGACACAGCCTGTCCAAAACTGAACCAGTTTCGTTTTTTCCTCATTAATCATCTTTGTTTTGTTTTGTTCAACATTTAAGAATCAATTAAGTCCGATATTTATTGTGCGAAAACACGATTCCAGTGAAACAATGACAATGACCGCATCTTTGATGACTGCACACAAGCACATCGCTGATCTCTGAGATACTTCCATCCACTTACGCACTCGCTTAGCGCAGGGTTGGGTTGATCCTAAAAATAATACTACAATTTTGGGATCTTTTATTTGTAGCCACTGAATCAACTGGTTTTTTCTGATAAGTGTGTTATTTTCTGCCTGAACCGAGCAGACAGAACGCATGGGATTTTTATGACCTATTGAAAAAAAATAATTAGATGCAAGAAAATAAAATATAATAAAACCAAAATACTTAACATACATTAAAATTTATAACAAAAGAAATCAATCAAGATTAGGAATATTATTGGTATTCTAAATTATTATAAATGGAAGATACAAATAATTTTGTGACTAGTACCTTAAATAAAATAAAAGTAAATCTTAAGTAAAATAAAGAAATAACAATCTAAAATCTAAGATCAAGAGGTCCTCTTAAGAGGTACCTGCCAAAAGATTTCGTATAGGGATAAGAGTACAATAAAATGAGTTCATTAGATACGAATTTGCCATGAAATGATTAGATTATGCTTTATAGATAAGATCTATGCGGTTAACTCTTATGCAAGAGCAGATCATAGGGTATTTAGGCTAGCTCATACATAACATTTCCAACAATCCCCTCTGTCGGAGCTTTAGTTCTGGCCAAACAAACGTGACAGTTTAGATTTTAAAAAATTACGTTTGTCAAGTGTTCTTTATGGATTGCAAGGTTAGAATTAGTTGACCCACCTTTACGAATAGAGGCGGTCCCATCTATGAATCCCATCTACAGAAGATTTCTCTGCCTGCAGCTGCTGTTGCTCCTGGCAAGAGGGCTGGCAGTTAAGCCCAAGGCCGTCGCTGTCTCGGATTCCAATTTACATGTAAGGCCAGCCGTACGAACCGTGAACACAAATGGCTTCCAGCTGACAGAAGGGGGCGACGTGGGCTACTGGCTGGTCCACATCATGAATGGACAGCGGTTCATATGCGGGGCGTCCTACTATAGCGCCCTGTATGTGCTGACCTCGGCGAACTGTATGTACAGGTACCGGAAGAGCCTGAACACCATCAGCGTGGAGTACGTGAATCCCAGAATGGATCAGGAGAACAAAATCGCCCATATCGAGAGCGTCAGTGTGCCTAAAAACTATCAATATCCCGACAACTACATGGACATTGCGGTGGTCAAGTTGCGCAGAAATTTGACCGGCAGTCCGGACACTGTTCGACTCTGCTCGCAGCCGTTGAGAAGATACCCAAAGTTCACGGCAGTGGCCTGTGGCGTAGATCCGGGAGGATCCTTTGATCGCACCGCCACCGATGATGTCGCCATAATGCCGAAAAGGTTCTGCCAGCCGCTATACAATAAGGACAAGCTTAGGATCTCCGAGACGATTGCCTGTGTCAGAGAGTGGAACAATTACAGGTACCGCATGTACGAGTTTGGATGCCCCGTGACGGCCGGTAACAACGAACTGTGCGGCATCGTGGCCTGGGGACCACAGTTCGAAAGCGAACATCCTGGCCTCTTCACTGACATCTATCAGGTCAAAGGATTCATCCTAAAGGTGGTACGCGGCGTTTATGTAGACAGCCGACAGCTCTCAAAACGAACACGCCGCATTCGCCCAAAAAAAATGCACCGCACTTGGGCCCGATAGTGCTGTAAATTATGTACAATAATAAAATGCAATGTATAATACCCCACACTAACCTGTGGCACTTCACTTGATGTTATGAGAATAAAGTTTTCGAAAACCATCTGAAGAAATAAAACAAAAAGAAAGGCATACAGAAATAATATTAGCGATAATAAGCGATGTAAGTAAGTATGGAAAAACGGGAAAACCATCACTTAGTCTGCACCATCAATTTAAATGGTAAAAATACAGGATAGATACAGTATCCCAATAATATAAGTTCTGATTCTAGCGTCACCCCCGTCAAAGGAGGCCTGGAGATGTAAATATGTATAAACTTCAGCTGATACAATTCTAATTCCTAAGCTACAAAAATCTTTGGTTATTCGTTGGGTTTTAGCTTCGGTATCTGGGATCTGATTTAGATGATAGTTTCATCATCGTCTTCGGGTGTCGGGGAATCTGTTGGGGTTCTCGGCCCTTAAGGTTCAGCTCGACACATTGGAATATTATTAAAAATATCAAATAAAAGGTTCTACAAACTCAAAATGTTAAAAGCATCACACATGCTGCCGGCGCCCAGCCAATCGTTGTTCCAAAGAAGTTCAACCGAATTCAGCTTTGTCAATCGCGAAAGGTAAGTGTTTGTTTCCCGTGCTCCGTCTATTATTTTTTGTTGGACTAGTTATTACCCTTCCCTACCCTCGTCCGCAATCTGCAGGGACAACCAACTTGCAGGGCGCAAGGGATTTATTCCTACGCCGCCAACGACCACCGGCTCCACTGCCGTGGGCATAAAGTACCGTGACGGTGTCATTATTGCCACCGACAGACAGGGGACAGCCGACTGCATAGTAACCACAAACTGTATGAAGAAAATATATTGCTTGCAGGATAACATTTAGTGAGTATTTGATGGTGGTTGTGCCATGTCCTTGTATCGTTACAATACATTCTGATAACGCAGTGCCGGTGGGTCCGGGATCTACGGCGATCTGCACCACGTCGCACGCCTCACTCGCGCCCAAATGGATCTTCACCGACTGCAAATGAGTTGCAAGGTGCCTGTCGTCTGCGCTAACCAGTTTGTCAAGCATCTATTGTATGACTATCAGGGCAACATCCGAATCAACCTGATCATCGGTGGGGTTGACAATGAGGGGCCTAGTCTCTATTCCACCCACTTCGACGGCACCACGGAGAAGGTTCCGTTCGCATCGAACGGATCGGGAGACTTCGCCGCCATGACGGTGCTGGAAAAACGATGGAGAGAAAGTCTCGACGAAAAAGGGGCAGAGTCTCTGGCAATCGATGCCGTGAGATCAGGCATAAAAAACGATCTGTATTCATGCTCCCCCATCCATATCTGCGTCATCCGCACCGATTACTCGGTATCACTGTACGACAAGATCTTCGCTGGGAGTCCTGTTCCCAGATCACCAGTATGGAGAGTGAAGCCCCAACCACCCAAAGTTCTTTTCGCTGCTGATCATGCATTGGAACCTATTGCCAACAGGCTATCTAAATCTCCACCAGAATCCGATCAGGTTGTGCCAAAAGGGCACACCGACCGCCCTCGCATTAGCACGCCACAAAAGCAAAAAAACTAATAACACCACGGAAATCGATGGTTAAACATTTGCTATAACAAGTTTTAGTTGTTTTTAATCTCATTCTTTGTTCATTATTATAACCCAACTAAACTCATTGAATTGTTGTTACTATAAATTATAGCTGTCAACTATAGCCACTCTCAGCAGCAAATAATACAAAAATATTCATAATATCAATTCAATGGATTTGAATTCGATTTGCTCATTGCTAAAAAGCGGTCAGCTTCTGTAAGCGAACAGCAGTGTTGCATCAGATTCGATACTTTGCATCGATATTAATTCATGTATCGATGACTGCATCGTTGGGCCCATTGCAAGGTCTATTAAATGTGGGGTAAGGCAGGCGCTCTCCTTACCTTCCATGAAATATACCTTGGGACATTGCGCTGAGCTCTGGCACATTAGCTTTCGGTTATTTTAAAACCATTTTTTTAGACCAAATCCAATTAAAGCCAGTATTTAAAATAGGTCATTTAACTAGAAATTATTTCATTAATCGGATAAAATTATGCGGGCGGTGCTGAGGGTTCTATCTAGCTGATAATATTCAACGGAATATCAAAAACGAGGAATATGTATAAAAGAATTTAAATTCGTCAGTATATTTACGGTATATTTTTAAAATGAGACTATACTTCTGAGTGTCGGGCGGTATATTGTATTGTTAAATCCGCGGTCACACTGGTGAACGACCGACCAAAACAATAATAAAATTTAAAAAGTTAAAAAAAGCAAAGAATGGAAGTTGTGGGCGAACTCGTGCAGTTTATGCAGCCGAACCAACGGCTGGACCTCAAGGCGGTGGCGCTGACACACGTGCTGGGTGAGTGAGGGGAAGGAACAGGTGGTGGGCCACCTTTGGCGCTCCACGTGCGGCATGTTTTCGTGTATTTTGGGCAACCGTGACGTCACCTGGCTTTCATTTTCAGGTCTTACGGGCAGCGCCGAGGGAAAAGCGGCTATACTGGCCCTGGACGACATGCTGATGGCTATCTTCGGTCTGACATTCGACGACAACCACACGGTGGCCAAGGATGCAGTGCTCAGCCTAATCAATCTGACGGCGGACGAGGAGTGCGCCACCAAAGTGTTTCATTTGGCCAAGCGAATCCAGCCCGTAAGAGAAGCAGCTACTCCCTAAAGATAACATACTCATAGTCCCCCGCGATTACTTGCAGCCCTTCGCCATTGTGGAGGTGGCTGCCACACAAATCAGTGACGAGCAGTCGCCGCTGGCCGATCCCTGGAGCATGGTGCTCAGCAATCTAACGCGCGTGGAGAGCCTGGTACACGAGATACTCGACATTCTGGAGCGGGGCGAGCAGACACTGCCGCGGCTAGCCAAAGCCTTTGCCCAGCTGGATTACAACAAAAAGAAAGCGCGGCTGCACTACCTGGCGCCCATCTTTTGCAACCTGACGCAGGTTGCTCGCGGCCGGGAGCTGTGTTGCCACGCACGATACCAGCTGTTGGAGAAGCTGCTGCCCTTCGCCTCGTATGAGGAGAATGTGGTGCGTCGTGGCGGCACCATTGGCATCCTGAAGAACGTTTGCTTCGATGCGGTCTACCACGGCGTGATACTCGGCGAAGATGACAACATATTGGTGGCTATTCTGCAACCGCTGTGCGGTCCGGAGGAGTTCAGCGACGAGGAAAACGACATGCTTCCCATTGAGCTTCAGGTGAGTGAGGGCCTATGCGCTCCCCGTCTATCCAGTCGCATATATAAGAGACGTCTTTCCTTGGCTCCTCCAGTACCTGCCCGAAAGCAAGACACGTGAGACGGATCCAGATCTGAGGAAGATGCTCCTGGAATGCCTCCTCCAGTTGTGCTCCACGCGGGGCAGTCGGGAGATTCTGCGTGCCAAGGGAGTCTATGAAATCCTGCGCGAATACCACAAGTGGGAGGCGCGAGTGGGCCTAGACCGTGATTGTCTGCTGGCCTGCGAGAATGTCGTAGATATTTTAATCAAGTTTGTTCAGAAGGAATACCCATACTCGACGATGTCTTCTGTAACGCTCTTTGTTTTATTCCAGAAAAGAGGAAGAAATCGGCCTGGATAACTACAAAAACGTTGAGGTGCCCGCAGAACAGGCCGAGAAGTTTGTTCAGGAAGATGTCGAATATGTTAAGAGTCTTTTAGATTAAAACCCACCCAATGACCCACCGTTTTGACTGTAAATACGCGTAGTGTTAGTGAAACTCATGGACGGTATTGAATTTTCAATATATGTATGCGGTTTTTATTCAGAAATGCTGATAGTTCATTTGTTTAATGCTTTGCTCCAAAATTTTGCCCTAGAAAAGTTGTACGCACGCACTTAAATGCAAGAGAAACAATTTCGATCGATTTCAATTCAATTTTTGATTAGTTCAAGTAGCGCGATATCTATTTAGTTGATCTAATTATGCTCCACCCTTCTGTATTGTATATGTATAAAGTTCTCTTAAGTGCTAGATACGTTCGTACATGCGTTCGAAAAATGTCATGAAACTTCATTTTAACAATCATTTGCTTGGTCGTTCATCGTGTGAGAGGGTTTCGAGGTGCGTGTTAATTGTTTGCCTTTTGATTAGTTTGCGCTTAGTTTTAGTTAAGTTGTAGTTGTAATTTTAGTTGCACTGCAAGCAAGCGATTTCAGCGGAAATTGTGTTTGAGTGTTTGCTGCCCGAAAGCAAAAACCGTTTGATTCTATCAAAATTGTTGTTTGATTGCTGTGGATTTTGTCATTTCTTATTTGCGGAAACCATTGCAAGCTCGCTTAGACTCGATAAAGTCAAATTAATAAGTACGAACCACTCGAATTCCAACTGAAAATTCATACAAATATTCTGTGTTCTTCTGTGTGGGTGTTCATTAAATGCTATTGCTGTTGATTCCTAGCTTTGCATATATGTACTCGTTTTCATAATTTGTTTAGTTGGTCCTATTGGTTCTTCTTACGCCTCGTCACCATATCAAAATTTAGTTAGACTTTATAATTATTATTCTCTAGGCTAGGTGTAATTTTGCAAGTTGTGAACTTAGTCGTTAAAATAGCACTACTCCCATAATTATTTTGGTTTTGTTAACTTAGAACTGTTTCCTGCATAAAGGGGCTAAGGGCACCATGGAAAACTGCGAACTCAAATTTCAAGATCACTGGACAATGAGCCACATTTATAAATAGGGTAATCATCTGACGACATTTTAAAGATAAGGTCTGGCCATTTTACAACCATTCAGAATCAGATAAGCACCGCTCATGGGTTTTATACGAAAAATTGTCAAATTTATTTAGAAATCAGCTAACGATTCAAAATTGGTTTTTCGGCGGACTTATCTAGCCATCATGCGGCGCGACAGAACCTCGTAGGCGAAGATCTTCACCTCCTCACCGTCGTAGGGGATGTAGAGGCAACCGTGCGACGGATGCACCTTGCCCACGGTCAGAGCTCCGGCGTGATAGCCACGACCCGCGTACAGGGCCTCCCCATCGACGTTGTGTCCCACGCTAACGGCGCCGGGCGGAACCTCTCCGTTCTCCGCGGACAGCCACTCGTAGTTTTGGCCACTGAGAGCTTCGTAGCTCTCCAGCTCCACCTCCTGGTTGGCGTAGGCCACGTAAGCCTTGCCCTTATTGGGGATCACCTTGGCCGGCAGCAGGTCGTTGCAGTAGAAGGCGCGTCCGACGTAGATGGTGTCGCCATCCGAATCATGGCCAGCCACTACGGCGTTCTGGGGGACAGTTCCGTGACTGTAGTGCAACCAAGAGTGACCTGGAAGGGATTCGCGGGTAGAGGTTTAGGAGACGGGCTTCCTGTGGTAGAGCCATCCATCTTACCATCCATTTCGTTCGGGCTGTCGCAATGTACTAGGCAAGCCCATTCGAGGGAAGTATTTCTTGAGCGATAGGGTTATCAGGTTATCCCGGTCTGGCCCGATAACGAATCAGATGCACTCAAAAAAAGTATACATATTTGAATGTAAACTTTCTAGGAATTCTCCTTAGTTACACCACACTCAAAGAAACGAAAAATGTACTACTCAATTGCGGGAACTCTGAAAAGAATTTTTAATCAGACATTTTCTTGACATTCTGTATGTTAAATTTAAGTTTAAAATGTGGAAGTAATTTAAAAAGAGGAGTACATTTCACATAATTGAGGACAGAATGATTGTTAATAGACTTTAACTTTAGTAGCCACATTTTCTTTTTTTAATTTTTTTCATTTAATATGTAGAAAAATGTATCTTCTGGGTAGGAAACGATGATGGTTTCTTTGAGTGTGGTGACTCAAGAAGACCGGCAGCGATAGCCTTAGAAAAGCGGTAACTATGGACGGATTGGTGTCTACCACACATTGATAACCCTATAAACAACGTTGTGTGTCATTTATGACTGGCTTTTATGGCTTGATTTAAGGTGTGCGCAGGGCCGGAATTCACTTGTTTCTCTTTAATTGGTGAAAAGTACTATGTGATTAGGAAATACAAATTAAAGTGACCTATGTACTTAAATGAAATAGTTTCCCTGCTTCTTGGTAAATTGATAAATTGATCTGATAATGTTTATTCCGCGCAAAGTTTTGGGCGAGTTCTAGATCTGTTAGCGTTGGTTCGCAGTTTTCCTTACACGATTTTTCCCACTAATTTATTTATACACAATTGTTTAATCTATAATCTGCCTAAAATTCAGCGTTCATTGTAACAAATAATTCGATTTGCTCTTTCATATGTATGTACAATAGTCGTCTAGGGAGGCGAGGCGAAAAATACTCTAACGCATCGCATATAAATCGAAAAAACATTTTCATTGCGTTTTCCCCCGCTTAATTTTTGATGAAAACTTAGCAGCGGTAGCACGCTTTTAAATCTAGGTTTCATTTTGCTTAGAAGCTAAAAATAATTGCAATTAGAATTTGAATTTCTGCCTTTGATTTTCGACTCTCGAATGCTTAGCATATACATACATATGTACCTAAATACAATACATAGTTCAAGTTTCGCCATCAATTATTGTAAGATAGTTGTTGAGTATTCGTTTATAAATCACATAATTGCTTGATGAATTCCATAAAAATATGCTCCATTGCCACTGTGTGCTGACTGTGGGTTCGTTTGTCGAGCGTGTCCTTGTTGCCTGTCCTTGTTGCTGTGGCTCTGGTGCAATTATTGTAAAGTGCAATCCTAGACACTGAGAGAGTTTTGAGAGGTGAGGGATGACATGCAGGTAGAGACATCGGGATAGGGAGCATATGAGTGGGGCATCGGCGTCGCCGAACCAAAGGAAAAAAGTATTTCCACTCGCAGTTGAATTATATTAAATGATTTTCCACGCTTTTTCCACACTTCATTTTCAATATCTTCTCAACTTTTATGGGGTTTCCCTTTCCCCTCTTCTTTCACATCCTTATGGTTCGTCCAATGTGCTACTTCTATTGCTACCTTGCAGCTGCCACCAGCAAAACCGCGAAGCTAAGCAGATGCCGCATTAGCGCCTCCGCCTTCGCTGGATGCCGTTGCGACGTGGCCGTGTTGCAAGCATCCGCATCGCTGCAGCTCTGAAGGCACCCATGCACGTATCTGTAGGGGAGGCGAAAGAGCGGAAAAAGTTGGTGAAAAATGTCGGATAATGTTAAGTTATCAGTTCCATACACTCAGAAAAAAACCACATTATTAGTTTTTAGAATGTTTTATATGGAATGGGCTCCCAAAGTTTCTCACTTTTTAGAATTGTGGGCGTGTTTTCTCTGAGTGTAAGATCCACTTCAACGAACCTATTATCGTAGTAAAACTTTCCACAGTGCGACATTCTTATTAACTCGGTGTCTGTGGTAAGGGTGCCGCTGTCCAGGGCACAGCCCCGCACCGTTATCGTTTCGCCGGTGTCATCTGCAGGCAGGGGTAGGAATTATATTAATGTCAAGACCATGCATCCTCGTTCATCATCCGAGAAATTCACTTACCATAATAGCCGGCGATCTTAATGCAGGCCGTGGCCGGGAAGAGGCCGTCGCGGCCCTTGCGACCGCCCATGCAGGGCGACTCGAGGATGGCGGTGGAGTAATTGTTGTGGAACGGATCGTCGCACGCCTTGTTGGCCCCATTATACGAGATGCACTTGAAGCAGTCTATGCAATAGCCTGTCGAATGCGAGACATCAAATTCAATTGCCATCTTATTAATTCGTAGCACTTACCGCTCTTGACGAGCAGGACAAAGAGCAGCAGGGTCAGGCATCCGAGGATTTCCATGATTGAAGTGGGCGCTGCCATTATTCAGGCTTTAGGCTTCAGTCGGGCAAAATCACAGAACTCACAGTATAAGGCGATAGACGGATGACGGACACACCTCGTGGTTCATTTCAATGCGAATCCTGCAAAGGGAAATTCATCAAAATTAGAAAATGGATTGAAAACTCTCCTATTCTTAAAGGGCTCCTAAAGTTTTTCGATTTCTTTCCGAAAATATCCGGCTCAATGATTAAAAAGCTCATAAAAAGTTGAACGAAAAATGGTCATAAAAATTATATCCACAATCCGCAGATATGCAATTTCAGCGAGTGACACCGAGAGGGGGTCCCACAGTCACCCCGCCCGAAAGACAGCCAGCCAAGAAAAATTAAAGGCAATAAATTGCACAACGCCATTTCTGACACAATTTCTCCTCTCTCTGGTAGGTGGGGGAGCATTTTTCCATTTCTTTCGGTTTCCCTGCGTGTTCCATATTTTTATTGCCGAAGTGTAAATAATTGCTTTTCAGTCGATTTTCGTGTCGAATGCGCGCCATGTGCTCTCTGTGTTTTTCCTCGTTCCTCGTTCCTTTCTTTTCTTTTTTGGGGTCCCTTTTAATGGCCACTTTGATAGCCCAAGGTGTTCTGTTTGGGTCAATCTTTTTTGGGGTTCTTGTTTTTTGTTCCTTCGGTCCCCTCCTTGGGAGCGAATTATGACAAATGATTTTGACTTACGGGCTGTAACTGTAGCTAAACTTGGTGGTCGGAATTTATGTGGATAATGCGTGTAGACTGAGTGGATGATTTTAGGATTACGGGTGAGAGCCTTATACAAGAAAGTAACCACTTTCTTCGAGGGTGTAAGCTTTAATAACCCTTGCATATCGATCGATTTCTTATGGCAGCTATATGACGGGGTTGGAAATGCTTCATCTGGTAATAATGGGAGGGTATCAATCCATCGGTGTCAATCACTGGCTCGTGGCATCAGCACAGCCGATATTCTACAGCAGAATTTGAACATTTCCAGAGAATTGTTGTAAAACCTTCGTGTATCAATTTTTATGGGAGATTATGACACTGGCATTTAAGTGTTTCCAAATCCACACGGATCCACAGGGCATACGAGTAGGTGTAACATCCTGTGCAGCCGCAAAATGCTATGCATTAATTATGTGATTTTGAGTGTCTATCTGTGGATTGGTGTGGCAATCAGAATTACCCACAGACAGCTTTGACAGAGTCTGTCAAACGTTTGACACTTTGAACAGCTCGGAAAATGAAATTATGTTTTGGTATTAAACTCAAGATGAGAGGATTGATGGTTGTTCTACGCTAAGTCATGTAATTAAAAGCAACTGCTGCTTCAAGGTAGATGAAGGTGAAGAGATTTATAATTAAATCGCAAGAATTCCAATCAGCTTATAGGAGTAGTCTACTCTCAGAGTAATAATTATGTGGCACATGTACATCTATTTGCAAATTAACCCCTAAGCAGTCGAACGACCTGCCGAGCTGCTCTGTCTTGGGGGGCCAGAGGGAAGAGAAAGAACAGAGCGGATGTGGTATTCAATGGCAGTGTTGACGGAAACGGAAGTCGATGCCGCCTCCATCCTGCCCCAGTGGCTTCTCGTCTTTTGCCAAATGAATTTTACCTTTTGTTCCCTCTGTTTGCTGTCGTCTTTCAGTGCATAGAACTGTACTCTCGGGCTCGTCTCTGGCTAATAAATACCTTATATATGTATATAAAACTTTTCCACTGTCTTCCATATCCAGCCAGAAGTCTACTATTGTCCTCGCCTAACGACCTTCAATGTATAGTGAGAACACCGTCTGTTGCTGCTCTTTTGCCAGTACTTAATCAATTGTGTGGCTTCGTCGTGGCTTTGGGGACCAACCCACAATCGAATCAGGAATGAAGGGACCAGCCGGACAGCCAGTCAACTTTCTTTGGCAGCTGCCACATCGTAACTTTTACGACAAGGCAATGCCAACGGCAGTTAGGAAAGAGAAATATTTGTGTGTGGGTATGTGGGTGGTGGGTGGTGGGTGGGTGTTGTCAAACAATTAAAAGCCCTACGTTGAAAATTGTCGTTTGACAGGACATTTAATAATTCCCCGCGAAATCGCTAGTCAGATCTGCACCGCACCCTCACAATTCTAAACAAAGTTCATCGCATCTAATCGCTTATTCATGGACCAACTTGCCCTGTGGCGAGCATTAAAAATGAAAAATGAACTTAAGGTTGTGCCCAAATCTGCATTTGACAAAGAGCCTGCGCTCAATTGGAGGCCATTAATTTCTTAATCTGCCTGTAAATGGCAACCCAGGCGGAGTGCGAAGCGAGAGAGGCAGACGGAGAGGCTGAGGAAGGCCTCATTAGGCTCTGGGTCAGATTTGATTAAGTGACCAACACCTGGGGGCAAAGCAAGTTTGGCATAAAAATGAGGTCACCCTTCTCATGGATGCTTACTTTTCATTAAGCGATTTCCTAGGATACCAGGCTTGAGAGTGATGGTCCAAAGGTCTTACGGTAAGGTCTTAAAGTCTCTAGATTAGCCCCTTTGAATACTCACTGTACAGGGCGAGAAGTTCTTTGATTTTGTTGCTATTGAATAGGTTTTTTATGAAGTTCGTATTACTCCGATGTACTCCCGACCTCCACACTCAGGAGCCATTTAATTTACGTTATTTTGCCTTCACTTGGGTTCCTATTTATCAGTCAAAGAATTTTATATACATTGTTGGACTTAACACGTTGACAAAGATGACTACCGCATCAAATGTATGAAGCTAGCAGCTCATAATTTCACATCCCCTTTCCAGCTATCGCCATGGCATGTGCTTTCAAGGCCAATTAACTTCTAATGACCCTGACTATTTATGGACTGTGATGGACCGAAAACTAAAATGTTCGAGACACACGTAAAGCGATTGGGCATTCGATTTATGTCTTGGGTCGGACATAGGGCTTACATTGATAAGGGTTACCGATGTGGATATGTGTCCCATGTGAGTGTGGAAATATTTGTCGATGGGCTTATAGCTATGCTTACCCGTAGTTAAGCACATAAGCCTTTCCATTTTGCTGATTTTGTTGTTTTAAAGTTTCCAATGAAAAGTCTGGACAACCAAGCCAATTTAAAATCATCTATAGGGAGAACTGGAGCCTTTAAATCTATATAATCCTTGCCACAGAATACGAGTACGAGGATTATATTTTAAAGTGGAAAGGCAGCTTATGAAAACACGAATATGAATGGTTTGAACTACCACGGGGATACATGAGACTCGTATTGATTGGGTAATGGTTGTGAGTCATGAGACTCGTAGAAATTAAATTTTCTGGTTTCTTCTGGATAACTTTTACCACAAATAAAACTCTCCTTTAAAGTTTTTCAACTTGAGAAAACTTTGCCAGTTTTCCTCCTTCATCTGAAATTTAAATGAGTTCGTTTTGACGGACCAAATTTCACTTAAGTCCAAAGAATTTAGGTCAATGGTCAATCAAATTAATTACTTCAGACAAGAATCCAGAATCTAAGTTCGAAGTGGCCATTCCTAGAGGGCAAAGCTGCTTAAGACATTTGGATTTCACCTCGCTCTGAATGCTTCTCGTTTTTCTGCCCTGTCTGGCTAATTGAGGCTGTGATGACTGTGTTATTAAATAATGATATTTAATCAATTTTATTGACTTACATTATATACATTTTTGTAATATTTACTTTGTTATCAAACTATTTTCTTTGCGGTGTAGCCATGGAGATCAATGTGTGTACACTGTTCAATGTTTCTCAACCGCAATTGGTTGAACAACAACCAATATCGATGCTCTTCTCGACGCGTCACTCAACGCTGCCACTCGCCGTTCATTGTTGTTCGACACTTATTCAGCTCTCAATACCCGTACGCTTCAATGGTCAAAAGCAAAGGGAACAAAGCCTGGTCAGATGGTAAAGGTAACTCTGATACAATCCTTAGCTCTCTCTCTCTTTTCAGAGCTTAGAAAACACATTTAATTGCTGGTTTACTCTGCTCTTCTGGCTGCTGGTCAACTAAGTTAATGAATTTACTCTTCACTCCAACCATCGCTATTTCAGTGGGGGGTAGGTGGGGCCGGGGAACTGCCTGTTGTTTGTTTTATCCACTTTTACTGGTTTTGGCTTCTTCTGCGGTTTTTAGTCAATAGACAAACAGGAAAACAATGGCCGTGGTAGAAAATGGGGACTATCTCTTGCTTCAGAACATTCTTTCCAATTAATGTAATTATTTTCTAAATGTCGATCTTCGCTTTTAGGAGGATTTCTTCATTAAATGGAAGTGCGGAATAAACAGCGTAGCTGTAATTAAAATTGACAATTTGACTTTGTTTTAACTTCTGCTCTCGTTTCCCTTACAAAAAACATTTTTAAAATTCTATGAATAACAGAGTTCTGTGTTTAGTATCCATGCATTTAAAGCGGAACAAGTTCTGCGAAATTTCTCTGTCTATGACTTACTTTCTTTGGTGCGCGAAAGTTTTGCTCAAAAGAGCTCAATCTAAAGTTCAGTTGAGTGTGTGCTGGCATGACTCAATGTCATATTGAATAACTGAGTGAGTTTTCTCTGACAGTCTGGCCACAAACGGAAAGTTCTCCTGCCATAAAAACAAGTTCTAACCAAAACGGCAATACACTTTATATGGCCACCCTTTGTGTGATGTCCCCCGAAGGGATTTGAAAACTAAAACGTGTGAAGTTCAATGTTTTAATGGTTATCTATGAGGAAAATCCTTTTGTGTGTATGGGAGAATTGAGAGACTTCAACCATCTTTGGGTGTGTGGTTTTCTTATAATTCTGAATGCTTACATTCAGTGCACATTCATTTATTTTATTGTGCATACATACGTCAGCTAAAAATTTTCCATTAAATGAACAACTATATTTCATGCGTAGCAAACAGAATGTGCATCTGATCGGTCGGAGAAGCATACCACCTAAACATACACACATAAAAAAGAATACATTCTGAGTTATTCAATGCATTTCAATGAGAATATACTACCCAGAAAAGTGTGGTAAGAAGGAAAAAGGAAGGAACCACATATGCGACATGTATGTAATCTTGCGCTATGCTCATGGGAGACCTGAAATTTATGCCATAGCTATACATTTCTCTTGCAACAATTTATTACATTTAGAGGCAACATTTTGAGTGCA